GGGGGGGGGTGGGGGGCCGAGCCCCTGCCGAAGGCAGGTACCGCCATCCCCAGTTCCTGCTCTGGCGTGACCGTCTCAACCAGGGGATGCTGAGTTCAGAGCCCCCTGGACCCCCATCTCCTCCCAGGCGGCCCTGAGCATCAGCCCCGGGGCAGGGGCACCTGCCGGGGCGCAGGGCTCGGTCGGAGGCTGCCCTCCTCGCACTGGCTGCCCTCCTTGGCAGGGCACAGGGGAACGACACGTTCAAAATATATTTAAACTAACACTCCACGCGAACAATCAAGGCTAATTTAAACAAACTATAATTAAACATAAAGGACCTCTTGGTAGGGAAGTCAGGGAAAACTGTCAGCGGTTACTTTGGATGCGTTTAAAGCCCTTACGTTTAAAAGAATAATTTTTTTGCTAATGTGAGCAATCCAGCACTCCCACACTCGCCTTTGGGGGCCGGTGGGGAAAGAAACTCTTGGGTTTCTTTTGATACCTTTACGTGCTAATCTTCTTAATAGATTTTTAATTAATGGGAACAGAGCACTTTGCAGCCGTGAAATCTATTGGTGTAATTGCCTGATGGATTAGTCCCATTAACCACACAAATTACCTGTCTCCAGGCTGCCGGCCCCACCGGGGAGCTCCCCACGCTGGACACACGGAGCGGCCCCATTCTGAAGCAATTTTGATAAAATAAACTCTCTAATCAGGTAAATAATTCCATAAGGGAAATTGCTGCCTTCCCGCAGCCCCCCTCCAGCGGGACCTGGCTACTTTCAGGGGAATGCAACATGCCTCCAATTACAGACAAATCTCCAGCTCAGAGACCGTTTGGGAGAAGCCCACGGCACACGGGACCCCCTCGAACCGCAGCGGCCAAGGAATTAAGGCATTTAAGCTGTCAGCCGGAATCTGGCCCGGCCCCTGATTACCTGGGGGGACACGCGGTGTATTTAGGTTCGTGTCCATTGCAATTTCCTGGCCCCCAGCGTTGATCCCGAATGACTCGAATCTGTGTCAGGTTCCTGCCCGGGGTCCCTCTGACACGTGGCCCCGGGCTCGGGGATGCCGACCTTTGGGCAATTAAGGACATCCAGGCCAGCCTGAGCCCGGAGAAGTGGAAACGTGCAGCTGCCCCGAAGAGCTGCCGGGCGAGCGGAGCCGCCTGCGCCCATTTCACCGCAGCGCTCAGCAAAGCTGCGTGGCTGTGCAGGCTGCCGTCACCACTCAGGATGGGCGCCCAGACCCCGGAGTCCCTTCCCAGTCGCACCCAAGGGTCTCTAGGGGGGGGTCTGTTGTAATTTTGGACCTGAATCTGATGGGGAGTCCCACAGCTTCCCTCCACTCAGACCTCGAGATGGGGATGTGCTGCCCCAGGGATGTCCCCGGGTAGTCGGGTCACTGGGACCCACGCGTGGTGGGCACAGCAGGGTGCAGGGCACCTGTGCGGTGTCACACAGTGATGCGCAGCCCCGACATGCTTCCCACCCAGATAGCTCCAAACCTGCTGCACCAGCCGGGGCAGCTCTCCACCCTCAGCCCCACGCCCGGGCGGCAGGGAGGAGGAATCCCTGCCGCACCATGCTGTGAGCACGTGTGATGAGGACAGCCTGGGTGGAAATGACCTGGGGGATTTAAACCCCGCCAGTGACAGGCTGGTGCCCAGCGCTGTGCAGTCAGCCATGGTGGGGATGGCCATGCGGTGAGGTGGCCTTCAAGCATCCCCTGAAATGCTCAGGTGGGTGATCCCTTCGCTGGTCCCTGACGCGGCCCAAAACACAGGTGGCACAGGGCTGCTCTTCCCCCTGCGATGGGAGACTAAAACTCTCCCCCCTTGGCTGCCCCCCTGGCTCCTGGCATGGGGAGCAGAGGGTGATCCATGGGGCCGCTCCAAATTGGAGGGGCCCTGTAGGTGGCCGAGCACCCCCGTGGCTGGGGTAGACCCAGGCGGGAGGGCCAGAGCGCGGGAGCCACCTCGCTGTGCGGTGCCGGCTAGCGCAGCCAGGGAACCCTATACCTTGGGTAATTGGCATCAGATGCTCCCTGACCTGCCGCATCCACTGGGAAGCTGGAAGCATTTATTTGTCTGAGCCGGCGGCTCTATCTGCGTGCGGGAGGCGTTGGTGGTGGCGGGGCTGGGCTCCATGAGCCTAATGAGTCTGAGCTGAAGATGATGAATATGATTGCTGAAAGCGCTTTCCTGAGTCCTCCTTTCCTGGGGCTCAGGTTACGAGTTCCCAGACAGCCTGTCCAGCCCCGGCTTTTCAGCTCTGATTTGTAGCCCCCCAAACACCGTCTGTCAGCTCCCCGTGCCGGAGGAAATGCTGGGTCCTCTGCCGCCG